TGTGTTGGAATCCTGCTTGGCCGGAGCTTTTGTTAGACCCTGCAAGTTTTATGTGTATGATACCTGCATCCAAACATAGACACACACACATATATATATATATGTATATATAGATAGATAGATATAGATATAGATATATATATATATATATAATATCCAGTAACTCTTGTGAGCAATGCGTTTCGATAAATAAACAACTATGTATATATATATATAATAATTCTGACACATTTACTGTTTCGAATACATGACTTTCTGCACCGGAAGGTTTTGAAAAAAGAGATGGTGGAGGCATTCTAAGTGCCAGCCAGGCACCAACAAAATACTAAATACATATACATATAAATATACGGTGTCAGTTCTATATATCCATAAAAACGGGGGAATGCACAAACCCAACCCGCAGACCTCACTCACACCCTTGGTCTCATCATCCTGCTTCGTCGGCTCCTTCAGACACGGGAGCTGGAAAAAATACAAAGCTTCATCAGCATACTGCAAAACATATGTAGGCAAAAAACGCATCTTTTATGTGTAATTATATAGTGTGATTTCTGTGTCTTGTGTCTTTCCTGTGTCTGCAAATTCTTGGAAGAAACCAAAAATGCCCATCAGATGTCATCAGTCGAATCCTCCACAGCGTTGGTTTTCTCTTTGTCGGGCTCCGGTGCTTCAGAATTCTGCTTGGCCTTTGGACCGAGCTTTTGGTAGACCCTGTACTGTATTTTGTATATGTACGATACCTGAATCTAAACATACATATGTAAACAGAAACTGTAAACAGAAACTCGTTCACAATGCACTCTGAAACATAATTTTCATCAAAGAAATATATATATATATGTATATGTGTGTTTGTTTTTAAATTTACATACAAATATATATATATATAGAGTTCTGGCCCGCTTTCTGTTTTGAATATTTGACTTTCTGCACCGGAAAGTTTTGAAAAAGGACATTGTAGAGGCATTCTAAGTGCTAGCCAGGAACCAAACAAAACACGGCACATATACGGTGTCAGTTCAATCCATGAAAACCGAGGAAGGGGAAATATCCAAAATAAACTGCGCACAAACCCAACCCGCAGACCTCACTCACATCCTGGATCTCATCCTGCTTCTTCGGCTCCTTCAGAAACGGGCGCTGGAAAAAACATCTACATCAGCATACTGCAATACATATGTAACTGATCTTTTAGGTGTGTATAATGTGTGTTTCCTGCGTTTTGTGTGTTTTCTGTTTTCCCTGTGTCTGCAAAATCGTTGCAGAAACCAAAAAGTGTCCATCACATGTCATCAGTCGAATCCTCCACAGTGTTGGCTTCCTTTTTGGCAGATTCCAGTGCTTCGGAATCCTGTTTGGCCGGAGCTTTTGTTGGACCCTGCAAGTTTTCTATGTATGATACCTGCATCGAAACATACACACATATAGATAGAGATAGATAGATAGATATATATATATATATAGATAGATATAGATATATATATATATATTTATAATATCCAGTAACTCTTGTGAGCAATGCGTTTCGATAAATAAACAACTATGTATATATATATATATAAATAGTTCTGACACACTTTCTGTTTTGAATACCTGACTTTCTGCACCGGAAGGTTTTGAAAAAAGAGATGGTGGGGGCCGTGGGGGCATTCTAAGTGCCAGCCAGGCACCAACAAAATACTGAATACATACATATAAATATACGGTGTCAGTTCTATCCATAAAAACGGGGGAATGGGAAAACTCCAAAATAAACTGCGCGCAAACCCAACCCGCAGACCTCACTCACACCCTTGATCTCATCATCCTGCTTCTTCGGCTCCTTCAGACACGGGCGCTGGGAAAAGAAGCACAGTTACATCAGCAAACATTTTTATGCAAAAAACGATCTTTTACGTGTATATACTCTGTGTTTCCTGCGTTTCTGTGTCTTCTGTTTTTCCTGTGTCTGCAAATTCGTTGAAGAAACCAAAAAAAGTGTCTATCACATGTCATCAGTCGAATCCTCCACAGCGTTGGCTCCCTTTTGGTCAGGCTCCAGTGTGTTGGAATCCTGCTTGGCCGGAGCTTTTGTTAGACCCTGCAAGTTTTATGTGTATGATACCTGCATCCAAACATAGACGCACACACACATATATATATATATAGATAGATAGATATAGATATAGATATATAAAATACGCAGAAACTCTTGTGAGCAATGCGTTTCGATAAATAAACAAATATATAAATAGTTCTGGCACACTTTCTGTTTTGAATACCTGACTTTCTGCACCGGAAGGTTTTGAAAAAAGAGATGGTGGGGGCATTCTAAGTGCCAGCCAGGCACCAACAAAATATTGAATATATAATATATACATATATAAATACACGGTGTCAGTTCTATATATCCATAAAAACGGGGAAATGGGAAATATCCAACATAAACTGCGCACAAACCCAACCCGCAGACCTCACTCACATTCTGGATCTCATCCTGCTTCGTCGGCTCCTTCAGAAACGGGCGCTAGGAAAAGAAGCACATTTACATCAGCAAACATTTTTTTGCAAAAAACGATCTTTTACGTGTATATACTCTGTGTTTCCTGCGTTTCTGTGTCTTCTGTTTTTCCTGTGTCTGCAAATTCGTTGAAGAAACCCAAAAAAAGTGTCTATCACATGGCATCAGTCGAATCCTCCACAGCGTTGGCTTCCTTTTCGTCGGGCTCCAGTGTGTTGGAATCCTGTTTGGCCGGAGCTTTGGGTAGACCATGTAATTTTTTTGATGCCTGTATAAAATTATATAAAGACAAACTCTGGTGAACAATGCGGTTTGAAACATATATATATATATACATATATATATATAATTAGGGTTCTGGTGCGCGTTCTGTTTTGAATACTTGACTTAGTGCACCTGAAGGTTTTGAAAACAACACCCGGTATCACATGGCAAAGGCATTCTAAGTGCTAGCCAAACACAAAGCAAAACACTTTGGTTCTTCAAATTCCGGTCATAGACACCAATATTATAAGCATATGTGTATGTATACAGATACGGTTTTTGGTAAATATGTATCTTCATGTGCAGGGCGAAAAGTGATAGGCACCCATTGAATTTGAATAGGGCCGAGCAAATCCCCGCAGGCACCTCAGCACGTTTCTGTTCTAGAGGCTGGAGAGGAGGTTCTGCAGGTTGTGCATCCAATAGGGCGTCCTGGCAGAATGTAGGAAAAAGTGAGGTCGTTTGATCCATGGCTCGTTTCAAATAGCCAGCATGACTCTTTTCAAACTATATAATGCGTATATATATATACATACACATATATTCACATATGTATATACATATATATATATATTTATAAGCACATATGCGTGTATATATATATATATATACGCATACAGGTGCATGCAACGACCTGCACATACACACACACACACGCTAGACAAGAACTGGATCATTATATTGATCCGGCAGGAACTGAGTCCTGTAACGTGCAAACCAGCCTAGACCATTAGACTTACAGCAGGTACGTGACAAAGGCGTCCCTTCGTCATATCACAGCAAATGATGAAGCGTCTTCGTTGAGTGGTGACTTCATCATTGCTCACCACTCCCCTGCATTGTTATTATGATTAGAAAGGAGGGAGAGGACAGAAGGAAGAAAAAGAGAGAAGTTTTACATCTATTCAGATGTTACACACACACACACCTGTGTAGATTTGGCTTATAATTTGCACATGTCACACAAACATGACATGTCAAACGAGCTCCTCTGGGGCTGTTTTGCCATCTAGGAAGTCTTTGTCCAATTGCGCCACAGGAACATTTCCCTGCCAGTGTGTGGGGCACATTCAAACCACTCAAGTGGGTCAAATCAACACGCCCCACCAAGTCTCAAGCTATTTTCACACACACACACAGATACATATATATATATATATATATATTTGAAACCAATACGAATACTTAGCTGCCCCTGAGCCGACTTAATGTGAAAACAAACAATGGATCTGCACAAACACACGCTGCTGCAAGACAAAGCGGCATCACGGGAAAGAAGCAATGCCACTGGCCCTTGCTTCGGGAACAGCACGTCAAAATGCCCAACTTCTCTCTGGCTGCCATCATTCAGTGCTTGCCAGCTAAAAAGTAAATGAGCACCAATTTGGCCATTTCGATCCCCATACAGAGCATCCTTCTCAATGGACGGCTTCTGTGTTTTCAGCTTCATATAGGTCCCCTCTTCTACAGTGATCCGCAAGCAAATCCCCGCACTTCGGGCCACCCAAGGAGCATCCTCCAAACCAAACATATGGCTCTGCAGGACAGCTGAAATGTGTGAGCGCTCCCGGGGAAACTTTTCCCAGGCGTACTCACCTCATAAGGGGTTTGAAAATGGCACACTTAGAATGCCCCTTCATGTATGCGGGTGCAAGAACATAAACATATGTATATATATACATAAGTATATTTATATATATATATATGTACATAGCCAAATATATATATATATATATAAAAAACAGGCGCTTTTAGTGAGGCAGTACACTCTCATAGTTGTACAACCGAGTTACATATGCTCTCGCAAAAAACGCGCGCTTCCTCTTCTTCTGCCTTGCACTGTCGTCGGTTTGTTGGGTAGCCGCTGTCATTCCTGGATCGGGTGCAGGGAGCACTAGTGATGGGTCAAGGGTGTGAGAGTTGAAACAGGGAACCCTGTATATATATATATATATGTAAATATCAAAGGAAGCTAGGAAGCAATCTTCCGAGTTGTCGACAAATAGTGAGACTCTGTGAAGTGGTGACTTAGGAAAGTGGCGGCTTCGGGAAGTGGTGACGTAGAGAAGTGGCGACTTATAGGGGAGTTGTGATTCAAGGGAAGTGGTGACTGAGGGAAGAGTGGCACAAATGTGAATGTGTGTGTGCATTGGCGAAGAGTGACAAAAATGTGAATGATAAGTCCTCGGCACAGAACGGAAGCCTTCTACGCATTGCGCTGCCAAAATGCTCCTCAGCGCAAATATAAGATCATTGAGAGGCTCATAGGAAAGCAAAACCATCCATATATATATATATATACATACCACAGCGACAACCCCATGGAAATCGCATAAATAAAACGTATTTGGTAAACAAGACTAAGACTCCGAAAACCACATTTGCCATCTCCAGCCACTCTTGCGATCTGAAAAGGGACTTTCTTGATTTGTGCGGCTGGTCCACTGCTTGTAGACAGAAGTGTTTTACAAACTTCTTTGTAAAACTTTTCCCGATTTGTCGTGAATAGATCCTCCACGTGACAAATGTTTCCTACCATTTTAGCTGTTGAGTGCGTCCACCTGGGGCTAACTTCGATGTGCTTGTCCTCTTCACCCTTCTCCTCTACCTTCTGGAAAACATTGAACTGGCCAGGCTCGTCTTTGTCCACCTTAGGATCACGCACTTAGAATGCCTACCAGCCTAATGACACCCCAATCCTCGTATATATATATATATATGTGTATATATATAAAGATGGAAAACAAATTGCCTTACATATTTGCCATGAAAAATATGTTTAAAATACGTATAATTATGTACATATATATATATGCGTAAACCAGGAAATTATTTATATATATATATGCATATTTGTGCACAAATGCTTCCAAGTAGCCAGGATGCACAAGGGTTCCTTGCAATGATGAGATAGCAGCACGGAACACCAAGCACGCCTAGTATCCCGCCAACCAGTGCTTTCATCGTCGGGGGAGCCAGCCAGAACTATCCCCAAGCAAGCCACTTTCTCCTCGTCCATCAGTTGCTTCGTCTTGGTACTGTTCCAAATGTTGCCCAAAGATTTAGATACCACCAGGAAATGAGACTGACATTTTTGTTTTCCATTCTCCCCGAAAATCATACCAACCAATCCCGGCTTTCGATCACTCCATGACTGGAAGGTGAGCAAACTGGCCTTTTGAAGGCCAATCCTAGATTTCGGCAACTCTGGGGCTGCACTGGCTGCTGGTGGCGCCTTGAATAGGGTATCCATGAGATTGGGAAGAGCTGACAGCCCCTCTGGATCAGCAGCCGGCATCATGGCCTTGATGTCAGTAGATCCGGCTGCGGCAATGTCCCCAATTTGTGTAGTAGCCTCGCACCACTGAAGGATGAACAAACAGACTGGTGCATGTGTATATAGCGACGTACTAAAACTTAGAATGCCTGTAGCCTCTATATAGCCAAGCCTCCCCAGGACCAAAATCTTCAAAAAAAACTGGTAAAATGCAATTTTCCACTTATTGCTAAGTGAGGTGGAATTTTAGCAATATAAGCCTTCTGTAGGGAATTTCTATGAGAATTTACAGGTGATATGGAAATGAGTGCCGCACATAGAATGCCTCCGGCCGAAAAGTCACAGCTCCCCGCTGAGAATGAAAATTCCCCACTTAGAATGTCAGCGCATGAAAGTTTTATCGCTTATATATATATTCTGTCCCTGTCCAAGAAACTGCATCAGCCCCTTTTTTTGCAGCTTTCACCTTGGCAAACCACTTGAAGCAGTCTGCAACTCGGGCCCAGGTTCGGCTGGAAACGTCCTCACCGTTCTTGATTGTAGCCTCGATCCCTTTACCCGAACTTGCAAATGTCATTCTGGCACCATCCACCACACATATGTGGTCCAAGATTTGCTGCTCCAGCTGGCCTAGTAGTCAAAGAATTAGAATTTGGACACGGAAATTGAATGGCCATGAACTTTTTTCACCACTATATATATATATTGTAATTATATATATTTATTTGTATACATATATATATAAATATGTATGTATATGTATGAATATGTATAAATATAGGTATCGTAACTAAAGCTTCCCAAAATTGATTATATATATATATAACCAGTCATTAAGCGGGCCCTTTGCTGTATATAAACTGAAAATGACATTAGCACAAATCAGACGGGGCGCCATATTCCCCTTTGCAAAGGAGAGACCGCAAACTGGCCAGTTGAGCTGACTTGGTCCTCCCTTTCACCTCCAATCCAGCGTCTTTGAACCATGTTTTTCGCTCCTTCACGCCCACAAATGGTGAAATTTGCCAATCTTTTTGGGTAAAACCGCATGATTTATGTGTGTATATATATATACATTCATAGGCGTATCCTTGTTCAGATGCAAAAAAAATTGTACAGATTCATATATAGTATCGGACTGAAACTTAGAATGCCGCACCCTTTCCGGTCGCGCTGTTCTAAAGAATGCCGCCGCGGGGGCAAAATCTTGAAAAAAACATGGTAAAATGCAATTTTCGGGTACCCGCTATTTGAGCTGGACTTGTTTTAATGAATCGTCCGTAGGTAAATTTGTGAGAATTTACAGCGTAATATGACCTTGAGTGCCACACATAGAATGCCTCCGGCCAAAAAGTCTAGCTCGCAGCATGTCAAACATGTGAAGCCCATATTTTCAAACTACTCGGTATACGCGGGGTTTTATGTACTTTGTGCAGCCCACATAGAATGCCGCCAAAAACATATACAAATGTCATCATTCTGTTGCAAAATCTCTGTTTTTTTATGAAACACATGGTTGTATTTGGGAGTGTCCTCCATCTTGTGGATGTCCAACTGAATCTCCAGTTTTTTCGCCTTTTCATCGAAGAAACGAGCCGCAGACTTGGCAATGTCCATGGCCCCATAATCTGCAACTGTGAATTTCCGGGTGGCATCACCCGCGCTGACTACGCACCTGAACTGGACATAGGAATTGTGATGCAGGAATGGCACCGGCATGCTTCCCCCCAAATAATAAACACCCAGGGGAGTCTTCACTATTTTGTAGGATGTATTTAAAATTAGGGTGGGAAGTTTCCCCCTGATATTAAATAGTAAATAGTGAAAACCTTCATTATTTTTTTTGAGAAAATTAAAATCGATCAAATTCCTGCTACAATCTAATTAAACAATTGTCAAAAGTTGGATATACGCACACACACACACATCCCAAAATAGCATTTGTTTAAGGAAAAGGCGCTGCTTCGCCATGACTTTGATGCTCTTGGGTAGTGGTTTCTCTTTCTCCAACCTGAGTTCGGGTCTCGGGCGCGAAGGTACTTGATTTGTCTTATTTGAAATGTATATATATAATATATATATATTTATTTATTTATATATATATATTTATATATATATATATTTAAATGTCAATATTTTCAATGTCTTCTCCCCCCATGTATATATATATGTATATATATATATACCATGTGTGTGTGTGCGTGTAACACTCCGTTTTTTGCCAAGAAGCGCAACCGTGTCCTTGGCTGCTATGGACAAGGAGGTGCTAGTAGGAACCTCTGGTCCTCCCTCCTCCTCTGACTCTGGCGAGCCATCTGGAGGAGGCAACGGTGGATCTGGCTTCGGCAAACACGGTTTTTTAGCAGGAGGCGGCCCCTCCTGCAGCAAGGCTTCCCCCAGAAACTTTGCTACAGCGTCAGCTGCCATGGCCAGATTCGAATTCCTCTCTCTATATGTATATATATATATATTTATTTTTTTATGCGTGTGCAATATACAAATAAAAAATCGAGAGAACAATGAGCAAGCTCTCCTTCCTTGTGGTGAATTGTCGTTTCATAAAAACAACGTGCGTGTGATTGTATGCGTGCGTGAGTGTGTGCAACAAGTTGAATTCTTTGTATATAAGTGGTGTGGCGTCAGTCGCTGGGATGGCGGCATAGCGGGCAGCGAGTGAAAGGAAATCTCCCATGAGATTGGATTTATATATATACAATTATTCATATGAAATAGTAAATTTATACAATCCTTCAAACCATGTGTTTCATAAAAGAACAGAGATTTTGCAACAGAATGATAACATTTGTATTTGTTTTTGGCGGCATTCTATGTGGGCTGCACAAAGTACATAAAACCCCGCGTATACCGAGTAGTTTGAAAATATGGGCTTCAAATGTTTGACATGCTGCGACCGGGACTTTTGGCCGGAGGCATTCTATGTGTGGCACTCAATCTCATATTACGCTGTAAATTCTCACAAAATTTACCTACGAACGATTCATTAAAAAAGTACCTGTAAAATTACAGGTACCCGAAAATTGCATTTTACCAGGGTTTTTTAAGATTTTGCCCCCGCGGCGGCATTCTTTAGGACAGCGCGTCCGGAAGGGGTGCGGCATTCTAAGTTTCAGTCCGTCGATATAATTAGATGCCTTACTAAACCCTTATTAAAAAAACAGCATCCAGACAATTTTTCAAAGGGGTACCTCATGAGTGGCTCAGTTACTCAATAATATAATTGTCTGGATGGTACTCTATTGTGAGCACCAACTTTTGGGAGTGAAAAAAGTAAATTGAAAACAATTGAAAGTAAATTGAAAGTAAATTAAAAGTAAATTGAAAGTAAATTGAAAGTAAATTGAAATCAATTGGAAGTAAAATGAAATCAATTGAAAGTAAATTAAAAGTAAATTGAAATCAATTGAAAGTAAATTGAAAGTAAATTAAAAGTAAATTGAAAGTAAATTGAAAGTAAATTGGAAGTAAATTGAAATCAATTGAAAGTAAATTAAAAGTAAATTGAAATCAATTGAAAGTAAATTGAAAGTAAATTAAAAGTAAATTGAAAGTAAATTAAAAGTAAATTGAAAGTAAATTGAAATCAATTGAAAGTAAATTGAAATCAATTGAAAGTAAATTAAAAGTAAATTGAAATCAATTGAAAGTAAATTAAAAGTAAATTAAAAGTAAATTAAAAGTAATTAAATTAATTAAAAGTAAATTGAAATCAATTAAAAGTAAATTGAAATCAATTGAAAGTAAATTGAAATCCTTTCTTGAGTTGATTGACCAAAAAAATGTTGAGGGAGGGCAAAAAAAAGTGCGAGTTATAGAGTATCCTCAAATTGTTTAGGGGGGGGGGGCCCCTCACATTAATCAGACGCAAACATTACTTGCAAGCATTTGCCATCTTGAAACCTGATGAAAAACTTCCACAGATGGTGCTTGCCAACCACCATTTCAAGATCGCTCCGACTCCCCTGGGGTCCACCCTTGAGCAAGTTCAAACATAGATTTCCGCCCAAAGATGCAAAACCTGTGAAACCTTTGAGTGGCAACTTTTGGCTGTGTGTCTCCGAAAAGAAGTTTGAGACGGTCTTTGCTCAGTGGAATGGGAGCCCTGTTCTCATCAAGTGGATTGAGGACAAAAAAGATCACACCCCCGTTATCCTTGCGGGTGATGTTCAGAGGAAAGCGCTTGCCAATGTGACCGAATCAGTCCGTAGTTCTGGTAATGTAGCTGCATCAACATCTGTTGAAGACCCATGGAGTGCGTGGATATCCAACAAAGGAGGAACTGGGATTGGGAATGCCGCCATGCCAAGCCGTCCAAACCCACTTGCTCAGCCACCCAGGAAATTGGAAAGCCCAATTGAAGACAGATTTGCACGCCATGACTCAGCCGTACAGGACTTGAAGCAGCACACCGACCAGGAACTTGGGATGCTCAAAGAGTCCATTGCCAAGATTGAGAGAAACATAGAAATGCAAAACACCAACATACAATCGAACATGGAGTTGACGAATGCAGAGTTCAAATCCCTCAGGACTGAGACATTGCAACAGTTGCAGGCCTTGACTGATGTTTTCACCGAATCCCTGAAGTCAACAATCGCCGCACAGGAATCGCAGTTAGCAACCCAGTTTGCTGAATTGAAAGACATGATCAAGTGCAGATCTGGCCCTTCCAAAACGGGCACATCACCGCCACAGAAGAAGTCCAAAACCGGAGATGGTGACGACAGCTTGTGACTATCCTCGGTCCAAGATTGCAATGAAGATGTATGCCGTACGATGAGTTATTTTCTCCAATTAATGTATGATGTGATTTGCTCTCCTGAAGTGAACAGAGCCTCCATTGCCATGAGGTGTCATAGTTGCCAGCAGAGTTTTTTTCCATCCTTTGCAGTGCCTTGCGATTCCAAGCTTTTTTGGGCTTGATGGCGCCTTGCGTGGATCAGGATGTCACCAGGTTGATGCTCCATTTGTTTCTCCATTCACTCGCTGTGTCTCATTCAATTTGT